TCCATCTATCATCCACCCATCATTTTGCATCCATCCATCCATCCATCCATCCATCCATCCATCCATCCATCCATCCATCCATCCATCCATCCATCCATCCATCCATCCATTATCTTTACCCACTTCTTCCTTTATGGGTCGTGGGTGTCACTGGTGCCCATGTCCAGCCATCACTGTGTGAGAGGCGGGGGACACCTTGGACAGGTCTCCAGTCCACCACAGGTGGAGACATAGAGACAAACAACCATTCACTCTCTCACTCACACCTAGAGACAATTTAGAGTTGCCAATCAGTCTAACATGCATGATTTTGGTCTGTGGGAGGAAACCGGAGTACCCGGAGAAAACCCACGCATGAAGATAGATAGGTACTTTATTAATCTCACCTCAAATTTATTATTGTCTATAGATCTGTATATACTTTATTAATTCCATTTTGTGGGATCCAGTAGCATGTTCTAATTGTACAGAAAACCAACACATATGTAATAATAATAAAAAGAAGCAGAATACACAAATTTGGAAAAAGACAGTATACACAAAATTGGGATGAATGGGGATTAGGTGTCCTGCTCAGAGACACCACGACATGTGGGAATGGCTGGGGATTGAACCTGGGACTTTCGGGTCCTGCGTCGGCTGCCCTACCTCTACCCCATCTCAGCACTAAGAAAAAAATTAGATCAACTTTTGGTTTGTGCAGCAATAACTGAATTAACAAGAATACTGCATACAGCACATTAGACACCTGACAAACTATTATACAGCGATCTGCATGGTCTGGACAAGCAAAGACCTTGCATAGACTTTGACTTTGAACTTGAAGATGGGGTGATGAAAAGGGCTCTCGACACTCCATCTAGTGATGACGCATGTGTATGAAGTTTTGTTCAATTGTCTTGAGTAGATCAGAAGTTGTGAGTGGGACAAGAGAAAGTTTGAGGACGCTCATACTTACGGACAGATGAAGACTTTACAATAACACGCCCACCTTCGAGCAGTGTATAAAAAGTAAACTGTGACGGAGTAGAGTTTTCCAAAGTGTTTTTGTTACTGGACAACATGGTGGATCAGTTGCTAGAGCTGCTGCCTCTCAGGGAGCAGGTTGCCCTGGTTCAAATCCCAGTTCGGAGGTCTTTCTGGGTGGAGTTTGCATGTTCTGTACGTGCATGTGTGGGTTTTCTCCAGGTACTCCGGTTTCCTCCCACAGACCAAAAACACGTATGTTAGACTGATTGGTAACTCTAAACTGTCCCTAGGTGAGAGTGAGAGAGTGAATGGTTGTTTGTCTCCATGTGTCCCTGTGATGGACTGGAGACATGTCCAGGGTGTCCCCCACCTCTCGCACAGTTATGACTAGACATGGGCACCAGTGACCCAAAAAGGAAGAAGCAGGTACAGATAATGAATACATGGATGGTTTTTGTAACTTTTCCATATGATTTACTTTTTGTTTTTTCAGACTTCATTTGAAATATTTAAGTTAAAAGCAGCTTTGTGTTACAAGAAACCTTGACATTAATGTTCACATAATCCGTATTTTACTCGGTTTGAGTTACATTAGTGTCAGTAGAGCCTCAAAAATCAGTCTGACATCCTTAAACCTGCCTTGTAGGCACCACAACACCGGGGGTGAAATTAAAAAAAAGAGAAGAGCAGTCATGAAGTAATGAATAGATGCACTGATTCAGACTGAGCCACCATACATCATGTAGGTCTTGTTGTGTATGAGTGTTACGAGGTGTGTGTGTGTATATCAGTGACTGAATCGTCTCATGACTTTTTTTTTCACACGGCAGATCCTGGAGGTAGAGGGAATAATGGTGCCAGAAGAAGTCTCCTGCATTTTGCAGTTGGTGTCCGATTACTTGAAAGGGCCCGGTCCCATCACCACCCTGAGTGGCTGCCAGGTGCCGCCGCACGGCGAAAATAACCCTCCCCATGGAGAGAGGAGAGAGGTGCACAAGGTAAAGCTGCTCACCGTGTTACAAATGGCACACTTTACCATTTGGTTGTGAGTTTGAAGATCAACTGCAGCTGATAAAATAACGTTTTCCTTTGGCTCCAAGTTGAAGCACGACTCGGGTACCGAGTGCTGCCTCAGCCTCTGCCAAGCTGTTTCCTTCCTCCCTGCTGCTGAGGAAGATGAGGACATGATGATGAGGAAGGAGGAGGGACATAGCAGGGGTAGGCTGAAACACCAGCACATGTCCATATTTGTTCATGTTGTTATTCTTTGCTAATGTTGCTTTAAACCATTTTTTAACACTCCACAGTGAAATGACTGACTATAAATAACTTTTTCATAGTTTGGGTATTCTGCATTGTGTAATACTTCTGAACAATTTCTATTAGTTTCTTATTGCATGGTTATTCCAGCAGAAATTACAGATGTACCGATCCGATACCGGTATCGATCCCGATATCAAAAAACTTCTGGATTGGGTATCGGTGACAATGTGACCGATCCATGACTGGGCAGATCTATTCACTCTGATTCTATGCTTTGTGCTCTGAGTGACGTCACGCGCTAGTAAACTCATCGCACGGATTGTTTTCAAAATAGAGCGAGCGAAAGGATCAGCCATCTGGAACTATTTCACACGACCTGAGCCAACACATTCGACAGCTACGTGGGATACGTGCACAGCAACAGTTCCAAGGGGTGGCACTAAAACTTCCAGTTATAACACTACCAACTTATTCAAGCATCTGCAGAGATTTCACCCTAAAGAGCAGAGTTTGTTGAACGGAATTCACAGTTTTCCCCACAATATCGGATCGGTATCGACACGCAACAAACTGTTGGTATTGGAAGTGGAAAAAGTGGATCGGTGCATCCCTAGCAGAAATATTTTGATATTTGTGTAGGAAGTGTCAAACTGCACCTTACGTTCCACCACTATCGCTGCTGTTTTTGCATCCAAATAACATTTAAATTGTGTGTAAATAACTGCGTAAAGCAAATTGTGGGAGGCCAGGAGGCGTCACACTGCAGTAAAGGCTACATGTAGCTGATAGTTACCATCAGCTCTTCTGTCTGCTGAGCTGCATGTAGCTGATTCTCAGTCCCATCTTAGTTCAGAATTTCATAAAGATACAAGCAACTTAAAACCGCATAAAGTCAGAATTACAGACCCTGACCTCCTTTGATAGCGTATCATAATAAATACCGCTCTCCTTTTTTGCATTGTTTTTCTTGTGTTCACATCCTCCACTGAACACATTGTTCATTATTTGGCCATATAATAAGTGAGTGAATGTGTGTACTATTTTAATTGCAATTTAAATGTAACCCCCAGTTTCCCAGAATGCAATGTAAGATTGTGTTTCTCTCCTCCCCATCCCCCCAATAATATCCAAGCCCAAGTTATGACAATATAAATCTTTCTAAAGTAATTTATACCATTGATTTTCTTTAGATCAGAGCTTTTTGAAGACTGAAACAATCTCTTAGCCCTATTAGAACTAGCCATTAGCTTGGCAATCTGGTCAGTATTAACACTAATTTAGAAGGCTTACACTACTAGAGGACAAACTGACCTCATTTCCTTAAATTAATTGTTACAATTGAATAGTTTTCATTTGATACTATTTCTATCTTAACATGTGATTCTTGACCTGCCATTGTGTATCTGTTCCTTTCAAACCCAGCCGGTCGAAGCAGATGATCGCTTGTCCTGAGTCTGGTTCTGATAAAGGTTTCTTCCTCATGAGGGAGTTTTTTCTTTCCACTGTCGCCTTCATGCTTGCTCAAGACGAGAGTTCTGTGACGGAGTTAAACTTAAAGATGCTCCTCAGATATATAATGTTAAATTATTATTTTCATATATGAATGTTTCTGTTCAGCACCCTGAGGTGACTTCTGTTGTGACTTGGTGCTATGTAAATAAACTGAATTGAATTGGATTGAATTGAAAAAATTGGGACACTGTGTAAAACGTAAATAGGAACAGAATGCAGTGATTTGCAAATGTCATAAACTCATTCTATTCACAATGAACACAGTAAACATCAAAGGTTTAAAGTGAGAAATAGTACAATTTTTAGAAAAGAAAAAAAAAAAAGAATGTAATTTTAAACTCGATGACAGCAACACATCAAAAATACTGGGACGGAGTCGTGTTTCCCACTGAAGCATCTCTTGTTTTAACGGCCGTGTGTCAACGAACAGGAGCTGAGGAGACTCCATGATGGAGGTTTTGGAGGGAAGCGTTCTCCTAATCCTTCCTTATGTAGGATTCTAGCTGTTTGGCAGTCCTGGATGTTCTTCGCAGGAGCTATTGTTTCAACTTCTTTTAATTGGTGTGTTCACATACGGCTTCTGACAAACTGTGTTTTCTTGTAATGGTTTGTGGAAGTGCTCCTGAGCCCGAGCATCGATGTTCATACTAGAAAATGTTTTGAATGTTGTCCGAGGGCTTGAACATCACGGGCGTCCACTGTAGTTTCAGCCTGGCCCTTTGTGCACAGATTTATTTTGATTCTTGAAAACTTTTGATATTATGAAATCTGATGATGGGATGTTCAAAGTCTTCCTAATTTTGTGTTAAAATACATTATTCTTAAGTTGTTCCACTAAACTTAGATGCAGCTTTTTTGCAGACTAGTGAACCCCTTACCATCTTTACTTCTGACATTCAGCCTCAAGAAATGTCTTCATACTCAGTCCTCTTACGGACATGTTACCTTTTAATCTAATAAATTGCAAAACGCTTCTTCAGCTGTTTTTGTAGCACCTTATTTTACAGCCTCCCAACGTCCCGACTGTGTGAATGTTTATGAAGCATTCACACTATTCTGACTATTTCAACAAATCATAAATCAAAACATTCAGCTGTTTCAGGACAATCCTGCTTTGACTTTTGGTGTTGGTGCAACTTTAGCTTTTTGACATTTTTAGCCTTTTCTGACATTTTTTTTTCTCATAGAAAATGAACTGAGCTCATTTTACGTCCTTCAAATCTTTAGATCTGTTTAATTTTTTACTGCTCCTTTCACATTTTGTTCTGCTTCAGCTTCTTTCAGCTTCCTTGTGGAAATTTAAACATTTTTTCAGCTACTTTCAGCTGTTTTGTGATTATTTTAGATTATTTTTGCTTACTACAAAATTGTTGTGCTTCTTCTAACTTATTTCTGCTAATTTAATTTTGTTTTGCTCTTTTCAGCTTATGTATGCAAGTTTCAGCTTTTTCTGCTATTTCAGCTACTATTTAGCTATTTTATGCAAATTTTAGCTTTCTTTGGCTTATTCCACATTTTTTGCACTAATTTCAACATTTTTCAGCCTAATTCAGCAAAAATATGCTCCCTCCACTTCCTTGTGGTAATTTAAGCTTCTTTCTGCATTTTTAGTTACTTTTCTGCTGTTTTAGCCCATTTTAGCTTTTTTCCCAATAATTTCCACCTGTTTGAGCTCATTTCCGCTTCTTTCAGCAAATATGTGTTCTTTCTGCTTTCTTCTGCTACTTTACGCTTGTTCTACATTTTCAGCTACTTTTTAAGCATTTTTTAAGCTAATTTAAACTGTTTTCAGATAAATTCAAGTTTTTTGTGGTAATTTCTGCTACTTTCAGCGTAATTAACTTATTTCTGCCTATTTCGGCTTGTTATGCTCATTTCAGCTTTTTTCTGATGGTTTCAGTTTTTTCGTTATTTCAGTTACTTTTTAGCTGTTTTTGGACTAAATTTTGCTTTTTCAGCTAATTCCACATTTTATTTAGCTCATTTCATTTCCTTCCACTTTCTTCTTATAGTTTAAGCTTCTTTCTGCCTTTTAAGCTATTTTTTTTCTTGCAAATTTTAGTTTTTCTAGCTAATTTCCTAATTTTTGTGTGAATATCTGCTTATGCCTAATTCAGCAAATGTGTTCTTTCTGCTTTCTTCTCCTAACTTCTTCCATTTCATCTACATTTCAGCATGCTTTTAGCTCATTTCAGCTGTTTCTCAGCAAGTTATTGTGCAATAAGCATTCACCCTGCATTTTCACAGGAAATGAAATTTCTCTAGTTTGAATTTGTGGATGTAAATTCTTTCTTCCATCTGAGGCGTTTCAAAAACTTTCCTACAATTTAGTAACACATTAAATGTTCATAACTTTTCCACATATCCCCTTTTCATAAGTTCTAAACTATCTCTTTAAACATGCAGTTGTTTAAGATTCATGACCCTGAGGTGATATCAAGCACTTGTAATCATCTACATGTTTCAAAAATAAAGAATTTAACATTCTTTAAAATGATTGTTCTCAACTTTCTTTCAATCGTAGGTGGAAGTAAAGCGCACAGAGAGAAAACCCTGAGCGTGCTCACCGTGTCAGACTTCGAGTGCCCTCTCTGCATTCGGTCAGTGTTCCTCGACAGCTCTCTGTATCCCATAATGCATTGCTGTGTGTAGCTTGTCTGCTCTGGTGTTCTAGTTTTTGCTTATTCTCTTCGGGTGCTACTTTCTCTGGTTAATTTTTAGCACACTTCCAGAGAGTACAAATGGCACACCAGACTCAAAGCGCTGTGATCGTCCTTTTGTTTTGTCAACTAAAGAACACATTTAACTAAAGAACACATTTAACTAAAGAACACATTTAACTAAAGAACACATTGTTTGTTCTCCGCAGGTTGTTTCATGAACCAGTCACGACTCCGTGTGGTCACACTTTTTGCAAAAACTGTCTCGAGAGAAGTCTTGACCACAACGTCCGCTGTCCACTCTGCAAACAGCCACTGCAAGAGGTGAGTACAAACACACTGAATATGTATTTGACGTAGAATATTCAAAAATGCATTGTATTCATTTAACCTGTTTTTGATTTGTTGTTGTTGTTTTTTTTTAAAATAATTTCCACGTATGATTTGTAAAATGAATATTATATCTTTGATTCAGTTGCATCCCTGAGTTGACTCAATGGTCTGCAACGTCACACCCCAGCCTAATAGGTGGTGATGATATACCGACTTACTTGTTTTGTCACGTCTCAAATGTAAAAAGAAAAAAGTTATTTCATATATGAAAAGCGTTCTGGGTGACCTTGTCATCCTCAGCTGAGACATTTCTCTTCTGTGCTTATCTCTTCACTGCACCCTTTGAATGAGAGGTGTATCTTTCTGCACTGCCAATAAATTCTTGGTGGTACCGTATTTTCCGCCGTGCACGCCGCACCGCCCTGTAAGTCGCATCAGTCCAAATATGTCTAATAAAGTGGAAAAATCCATAAATAAGGCGCTTCGCTGTATAAATCTAATTTATTACGCGTCACCACTGACAACCTGGAAATGTGGGCCGGTGTTGTGCCAAAAATAGATGGGCTGCTAAATGGCGGCCACAGAAGCGTGCACAGAAGTACTTTAACAAGAATTTAACAAGATTAACACTTAAAAACAATTATTTGTTTGCTCAAAATTATAGCAAAGGTGTGTCTCAGTCTAACTTTTCCTTAATAAATGCACTTTGACGGTCAAATCAGCTGCATTTCAGAAGCAGATTTGCAGCCGCGGGAGCGTGCACGGGAGTACTTGCTGTGCGTTTTTTCAAAATTTAACAAGTTAACCACTCAAAAACAATTATTTGTTTGCTCGACATTATAGTAAAGGTGTGTCTCAGTTGAACTTTTACTTAATAAATGCAGTTCAATAGTTAAATTAGCTGCATTTCACCGGTGCGGCGCAGCAAATTGAAGCTGATTTGACGGTTACTCCAGGTGAGCTGGACAAGTGGCATATTAAGGCAAGCCGATTGTGTCATTAATAGCCACTTTTACCCATTACATGACACAACGGCATGCCATACAACTTGAGTGCTGTCTAGGGGCTGAAAATGGTAGTGCTCAATATTTTCTGTAGCATTTTCTGCATACTTATGATGTTGTCTTTCCTCCTCCATTTTCAGTACTTAAGAAACAGGAAGTACAACCCCACGGTTGTGATTCAGGACATCATGACGCAACTGTTTCCTTCCCAGCTGGCTGAGAGGAAAGAGATTCATGACGCAGAGATGGCTGAGCTGTCCAAGTATGCAGCACTTAATTCAATTGACTGTTTTTATTGTAGTTTATTATTCAACATTTATAACCATGCTCCTGTTGATTTTACTTTTCTGTCTTTTTTTGTGTTTTCTCTTGTAGTCTTACCAAGGACATCCCTATATTTGTCTGCACCGTGGCCTTTCCCGGGGTGCCGTGTCCACTGCACATCTTCGAGCCTCGGTATCGGCTTATGATGCGTCGCTGCATGGAGACTGGCACCAAGAAGTTTGGCATGTGCATCTATGAGCAGGGCAAAGGGTATCACAGCACACTCTGCATTTCAACCTGTCTTGTATAATGAGGTCCAGATATTTTTTTTCACAGCAATGCATTTTTCTCTGATATTCACAACGATTTGCAACATTATATCCACGTTACTTTTAGAGTCTCAAATACGTTTGAGTAAATGAAGAAAAAAACATTATTCAAACCTTAAACACTTAAAAAAAATATGCCATGAAAGCAGGAATCCACAGGGATGGAGAGGAATCTTAATGTCAGTTGACAGAAAAAATATTCAGGATCAAAATTTGAAGGGATCCGAGCTTTAATGCAGTTATCTAACGTTGTTTTTGGCTAAAAGCTCAAACTGGATTTGCCAGTTCTGTTGCAAACAGAACTCAACTAGATGAATTCAGAGCATAGAAACTGGGTTCAAACAGGGCTGATCCACTTTGTGAGAGACACAGGAGTTTAAGCAGCACTGCAAGATGTGCTTTCTGTGTAATCTGAGGTCAAGATGGAATTAAAAGCTGACCTTAATGCTCAACAAAAGGTCCCAGAACAAAGTGGTGTAACCACTCTTCAACCAGACGTCATCAGGTGGTGGATGTTCACCAGGACAGCTTTATGATCAAACTGAATGCTCCATAGAAAACTGATTTGTTGGCTCAAATTGCGAAGAGAAAATAAAAACCCACAAGTTTCTGCATCTCTCCGATTGGAGCCTTCAAGCTGTAAATACTCCTTTAAAAGTCCCGACTGAAGCGGCAGAGAAACAGAGGCCCTGGTTTAAAAGACTAAAATGTTGCAAAGAGAAGGACACAGGTTTTGCCTGCAGGGGGAGGTAGAGAGCAATCCATGCCACTGCTCCACCACTTGGAGATGTTTAGGGATTGAAGCAAAATGAGATGATGAGTGGCTCCCAGCTAATGATGATTCCAGCCTAACGGCGCCATCAGAGACATCTCTTCCATCTGGGCTTCCATCTGCCCAAATCTCTGCGAGGTCTTCCTCCCTGGGCGTTATGAAACCAAAGATCCTCCTCCCATTTACCTCACTGGAGAAAAATGTAGGCCTTTTAATAAAATTGGATTTTGTTTTTGCTTTATGTTGCATTGAAAGCGTTTTGTTATTTAACGGCAAAACATCTTAAAAATAGCTCATGCCTTTTCAAAAACAGCTAGAATTCGCTTTTCCAATTTGTAAATCCTGAGATATAAACTGAGCGTGCACTTTCAGTCCACGGTCTTCATGAAGCTGTAACTTGTGTATGCGTTTGATTAAAGTCACATGCATGCAGTTACTCTGACTGGGCTGTCTGGGTGTGGAGGGAACACTTTAGACATTTTCTTCTCAGTGAAGTTCGTAGCAGGCCCACGGGAGCCTGGGGTGTTTGTTGGTTGTGCTGCAGTAGTAGATGGAGCAGTGGACAAATCTGCAAACCCTGAGGCTCTGGAAAATCACAGCAGTACCAGTCTGCTTTGAGATTTAATTTAATTTTCTTAACACATTTTCTCACTTGTTGCATTATGTGGCAGTGAAATTTAATTTAATCATTGATGTATTATCGAAATGGAACATTTTGTAAAAGATGCAAATAGAAAAACTAACAAGAATGCCACAAAAGCCACACGTGAATATTTTTTTCTCCTCAAGATTTTGTCTGAAACGCTTTATGTACAGCAGTTTTTTTTTTAGTTTTTTTTTACAAGCAAGAAATAACGTTTGCTGAAAAGCCAGAATTTAGAAAAGCAGACGGTGCGTGGGCTGGTCTTTGATTAGCAAGCTCTCTGATTAAAGCCAGTTTTATTTATTTCAGTTGCTGCTGTCATAAATAGATGACATCTGCCACATCTTTTTATTTTTCTTAGGTGTTGAACAATTATCCACTTTTTCTTTTTTGATTGAGATGGTTTTGTTGTGACTTGTTGTGACTGTGTTAAAAATTGAAAAAAAAAAAAAGCTCACGATTACATCCATCCATTATCTTTTACCCGCTTCTTCCATTTTGGGCCACGGGGGTCGCCAGTGCCCATGTCCAGCAATCACTGTGTGAGGGGCGGGGTACACCCTGGACGGGTCGCAAGTCCATCGCAGGGCCACATAGAAACAAACGAGACAAACAACCATTCAATCCAAAATAAATGAGATGAAATGAACTAAATTAAATACAACTAACATGAAATATTTAATAGGCCAACATTAGTGCCTGAAGGAAAGCAGCAGAAGCAGTGCATTGCTAAAATACAGGGTTTATTTGATTTTTACTGAAACTTTTTTACTTTTGGACATTTGTCAACGAGATGTTTTTTTGTTGTTGTTGTTTTTTTACAACCCGGAGCAGCTGATTAACATCTCAAAGAACAAATAATATCTCAACTACAGCCCCAAATCTCAAATGAGTTGAAAAGGAGGCTCCGTGGATGCATTCTCATCTACCTGCTGGCTCTGCTCGAGTGCTTAATCACTGAGATCCTGGAACTAGAAGGAAACGCGGCTCGTGACAGGAGTACGAGATCATCCCCTGACACCTGCAGCTGGCTGTCCGCAGTGACGAGGAGCTCGGCAGCTGCTGGGAGGAGTGGCCATTGCTCCGGGAGGAGTTCTGCCAGACATTTGAGTTGTCCTGCAGCCCAGGGGAACCAAGAGGCCAGCCGAGTCTGGGTGGACGGATTGGACAGCATCTGTGGCCAGTTTCTTTGGATCTGCTGTGGGACGGACCTTTTACATGAGATCCTTCCTGCCTATAGCCATCAGTATCTATAACATCTCTTAATGAAATGAGGATAATGAGTTACAACAACATTTAATTTCCCTTTGGGATTAATAAAGTATTTTTGAAGTGAATTGCTTGACTTTAGTTCAGGAGTATCTACAGCACTGTAGAACATGGGACAGCTATTTCAACAGTTAACACATCTGCTTTGTACTTTTCCCCGCAATTATAAAATAATTGAACAAAAAATGAACTTTACAATAATGACCTATAAAACATGGGCTAAGTAGAATGAGCTTCATTCGCCGGTGTAAAGCTTGTAAGAGTGTTTCTTAATGTGTTCCTCAGGTTTGCCGATTATGGCTGCATGTTGGAGATCCTTGATCTGGAGTTGTTGCCAGATGGACGATCTTACGTGGAAACAGTGGGTGGCAGCAGATTCAGAGTCCTCAAGAGAGGTCAGAGAGATGGCTACCACACCGCTGATATCGAGTACTTGGAGGACCTCAAGGTTAGGGTTTAGGAACCCACAAATTCTGTAGCGTAAAAAGAAAAAAATATTAGAACTGGGCACTTTTACTGGGTTTCTGCATCTGTCCCCTTTTAAAATTTTGTCCCGTCTGTCTTAGGTGGATGGCAGCGAGCTGGAACTTTTACAGCATCTCCATGACAGTGTGTACCAGCAGGCTCAGGACTGGTATCAACGCCTCGGTGGCCGCATCCGTGAGCAGATCGACAGACAGCATGGCAGCATGCCTGAAAAGGAGGAAGACATTCAGGTTTGTACAATAACATATTTGTAACAATAAAGTAAGTCTAACCATTAACCAGTGACAACAATTATTTCCTCTCTTTCATCTAGAAACCCCTTACATGTGTTTATGGTGTCAGATATTAGAAAAAGTTGGAAGATAGATGGAGGCCATTAAGTACTTTTTTTATTTTTTTTATCAAATACAAGTAGGGATTTTACAGTCCCTTTGCAAAGATTTTGCAGTTTTTATTTTATTTTATATTTTAACAAATTTTCGTGAAGTTTTGTTCATGGTCCAGCTTTTTTTGTTTGAGTATGTCAAACCCAAAGTCTCAACAGAAATGGTTATGCAGCTGTTTTTTTTTAACATGGACTTCAGTTTTGTAAAAGCAAAAATTAATTGCTGCCATCGCTAGATTAAGATGACAATCAAATGATGAATAAACGTGTTTTTTGTATAGAGACATGCTCTTGTTACATTATATTTTTGGATAAGGGTCTTTGTAATGGCTATCATGTCTTTGACCATGATGAACTCTCTCCAGGCCTCGGCCAATGGTCCTGCGTGGTGCTGGTGGCTGCTGTCCGTCCTTCAGCTCGACCCTGCCTATCAGACTACGTTCCTGTCCCTGTCCTCCCTCAAAGACCGCCTGGGACACCTTCGCCTTGTCCTTGAGTACTTCTCTCAGAGCTAGAAGCCAGGGCACGGTGCTATTGTGGCCACAACTAGCCATCAAATATCACACACAAAGTGAAATCAGTAAATCAACGCACAATAAACTGAGAGTCTGAGATTTGGTTTCAAAACGTCTAAATCACATAATTTTTTTTAAATGGCACTTGGCCAATAACAAGTTTTTTTATTATAAAACAGCAGCGTTTGGGGGTGTTTTGCCTTTTGTTTGTGTATAAATACACATTTTATTGGTTGTACCATGCAGGAACTGCACGGTTGACCAAAGATGCTTCTTTTTTCTGATTCATTAAAAAAAAAAAAAACGTTCGAAGTCATTTTTCTCAGTTTTGCTGAGAATAGACACTTGGTGTGACTTTTTCCTGCGTCATTACAGACACTAACAGTGTTTTATTTGTTCAAATGGAACTTAATACAATAGTTTGGTAACACTTTACAATAAGGTACTCAAAATTTGCTTAATTACTAGGGAACGCATAAGGAACGAACCAGGAACAAATCAGGAGCTAATGGGTAGTTAACCAGTACTTACTGGGGAACACACAGCCAAGCCTTATTAGGGATCTACTGGTTTGTTACCACAGAAACAGAGGAGAAATTCTACATGTGGGTTCTGAATAAATCCTGCACCAGTGAGGTCACAGCTCATAATTGTCAAAAACCTGTTTCCCAGTGATTACTGATTTGATTGGATTTTCTCTTTTGTAAAACTATTGGTTAACTACCCATTAGTTCTTGATTAGTTCCTCTTCATTTACAAGGTAACTAACCAGTAGTCCCCTAATAAGGCTTGACTGTGTGTTCCCCAGTAAGTACTGGTTAACTATCCATTAGCTCCTGATTCGTTCCGGAGGTGTTCCCCACTATTTAAGCTAATTTTGTGTACCTTATTGTAAAGTGTTAGCCAATCATTTAGCTACACTTGGAGGGAAAACAATAGCGGACTGTATAAAGATGTGGTTTAAGAGAGGTGTGCATCAATGTTGGGGTCCATGTGTTCCAGGTAATTATTTAGGATGTTCTCAGTGTTTGTCTTTTGCTACAGACGCTACACTTGGTAACCCTTCAGTGTGGCTAGTTTTATATGATAAAATAATTGCAGTGCCTGTAAAATGTATTCACCCTCTTGGATGTTTTATGTTTCTATTGCTGTCATAAATCAATCATGGGCAATACAATTTGACCTTTTCAACAACAAAAAGTAAACAACTTTATTATCAAAGTGAAAATTGGTTTTAATTGCTTTTACTCAGTAGAAATCAAAACAACCAATTTAATTAAGCATGAGTGATTTATGATGGCAATGCAAACAAAAAAATAAATCCAGGAGGTGAAGCTTCTTTAGAGACACAGATTAAAAGCTCTTAATAATAAAGATTGTGAAGAGAGGTGACTAGGTTACGCTGCAGCTGCTGGAGGATCAGTCTGTAATGATGCTGCTGTTATACTTCATACAATGGTAAACAAACTTATTGAGACAAGAATGAGCAGATTTAGTTGGTGAAAGCTACATGTCAAAAGAATAATTGATATATATATTGAAGTGTTTTTTTTTTATGGTTATGAGCAAAGAATAATTTGTAGTTCTTTCAGGGACTTCAGAGTGGAGATTCTGACTATCATTATGGGCTAATGGTTAGCAGAGCCCAAAGTTGATCGTTAGCATCTTAAATCAGACCATTTCTCAAAAATTACAGGATTTATGGACGGAAGTTCAATTTTAGGAATCTTAACACCACCATCAGTTTCACGTTACACAGTTCTTATAGCAAACAATTACTGTTTGTCCCAGGTTGCACCGGAAGTCCTACAGCTAGCTGCTAATGCTGCTTTTTGTGCTTGCAAATAATCGCAGAATTTGTGGACAACAGTGCAATGCAACATGGGCTACGGTGTAAACGTTCATTATAAATTAGCATTAGCATGGGGTGCTATGACTTTTTTTTTTTTTTTTTTAGACTCAAGTTAAAACGATAAGAATTCACTTTGGTCTTTGTCCTGCTCAGACTAGTCATTAGCTCATCAATCTGGTCAGAATTAAACTGAGGTTGCTGAAAACCCTATCTACAGCAGGTAAGATATTTATATTTTCCCACCGATCTCTACTTCAGAAGGCCTAAAAAACTTGCGTCGGCAGGTGTTTTACAGTTTGATCCTGTTTTATTATTATTTTTTGTTGTATGTGTATCGTGAACTGAGCACAGCGTTATTTATACGCGTTTCAGGTGTTTTTAAACAGGATGTGATGTTCTGTCAGTGCAGATAACGACTAAAGTTCGATGTGGAGGCACCAGAAACCGTATGAACATGTTTTAAGTGGGGACAGTTGTAAAATATTTTGGATTCAACACTCTGCCTGTGGTTTGAGTCTCCTCACCAACACCATGAGACATCCTTGCAGGACACTAGACCCACCTCTGTCCTCTACATTGTCTGCATCTGTCCGGCCCAGCTACCATCACGATGCCTTTGGGTACCATCTGGAGACCTGAAAGTTGATCTACGTGACTCCATCGATGAACCGTGTGTTTTAGATATCATTCCATGGAATGTTAAAGCTGCAAAAATACACAAAGTTAATTTGCTAACAACTCTGAGTTTTTTTTTTTTTTTGATATTGTTCTAAGAAATGTGCCATAGACTGTTTTTGTTAAATGCTTTGTACAAGTAATCAACCGATTTGCTACTTTTTCAATATCCGTCTACGACGTGAACTCGTAAGCACTGGGCCTTGATATGTGTGAACTTTTCCACAACAGATCTAAAACAGTTCAGAAAGTCCAGCTAATTTTCTTGGAAGAATTTTCCATGATGGAACAAAGGAGCCATGCATGTGTGATGATGTATTGATAGTTTAGAGGGATATTTTGAATAGCATGATTATTCTTTCTGTTCTGAGTGATGAACTGATTGTACAGACCGGTGGACTCTGAAGCAGCAGCTGCAGCTGGATTACAACCTTTGTTGGTGACATTTCACCTGATTAAAGGTCACCCAAACTAAAAGGGATGGACGTTTTTATCAAACCTATGATTTTGATTATTTTTTGAAAGCACTTGTTAAAAATAAAGCATTGTACAATTCTTCAGTTATTACCTAAACAGGCCATTCTTTTTTGATAAAATGCACATTTTAGTTGATTACAACTGTCAGTCCTGAATTAATTTTCTCTGGTTTGTGCAGAACATTGTTTTGTGTAATTTACTTCACAATAAAAGTTTAACTGAAAAATAAAATTGTCCTTTTATTTTGTGATTTAAAAAAAATAATAATAATTTGGCTGATAATGGTTTGGAGTGTGGCATGGTGGATTAGGTGGTAGAGCTGCCGCCTCTCAGCGAGAAGGCTGCTGGATTGAATCCCGGTTCGGGGGCTTTTCTGGGTGGAGTTTACATGTTCTCTCCGTGCATGTGTGGATTTTCTCCAGGTACTCCAGTTTCCTCTCATAGACCAAAAACATGCATGTTGGACTGATTGGTGACGCTAAATTGTCCCTAGGTGTGAGTGATGGGCAACAGTGACTTCTGTGACCTGAAAAGGAAAAAGCAGGTAGAGATAATGAATGGATGGATAAATGATTTGGAGTTTATATATATATATATATATATATTAAACTGCATTTACTGAAAACCACTGAAATAGTAGCCAGGTTTGACCAATTCCAACGAGTTCCTCTACTTTTGAGGAAAACATCCTCTTGATCCGTTTGCTTGTTCACTGGTTTGCACCCTTGATACATTTTTTTTTAACATTATTGGAAATATGGTTTTAAAAAGGAGGTTTGATGTGTCTTTTTGTTGTTTAAGTAATATTTAAAATTGAGATTGTTCATTTTTACCCCCCTTCCCAAAATGTGAACATTTGTCAGAATTGGTTTGTGGAGTGAAACTCTTCCAGAAAAGATTTATATAATTAAACAGAACTAAAATGGGCACTTCCAGTCTGTGTGATATTAGATGTCAAGATTAGATCATCTTTTTTTTTTTTTTTTGAATTATTAAGAAATCTTATGACACATGATAAACTTCTAACCATTATTTTCTCCCAGGAAACAAGAAAAGTGTTTAAGATGAATAATTTCTGAAATTAAATCATTTTAAAAATCCAAGCTGTGTTCTAAGATGAGTTTAAAACAATGTATGAAATTTTACAATGAAACGACCAAACCAGATCACAGACGCCTGCTTTGACAAAAGCCTCCACCAGGGGGCAGTCTGTATTAATCAAAGAACAGCAGAGCTGCAGCATCCTCATGGAAAGGTAACAAGTTGGTAGTTTTTTTTTTCTTTCTCTCTCTCTCTCTAAATTATTCACACTCAATTTGATCTCAATGATGCCCTGAATGTTGGTCAAAAGTTGGATGAGGTTGGACTGGAAAACAAACGCATTAATAAGAAAAGATTAAAAGAGAACAATAGTTTCATGACCGGCTTAAAGAGAAGTGTGAGGCATGATTCTGCCGACATCCTCAGCATAGGAGGCAGAGAGATGAAAAGAGGTTTCACTGGCTTCAGAGGAGTTCTGTAATGCAGCTCAGCGTCGACATCAAAGCCCATTACATTTGAAGAATGCCACAGCTTTTTGTACTAAATTGATCCACTGGCGTGTGCCGGCTCCCCTGCTTGTGTATGAGTGAGTAAGGATGACAGACGTTTTGTTGGAGTTATCTCTAAAGAAGGGGAAGGGAAGGGGGACCGGCGGTGGCTCTGTGGATGTGTGTGCAGAAGTGTGTGTTTTGGTGCTGCTGGTGTTTTGCGAACTCGTTCCCTTGCAGGGATTAAAAGATGAGTCAAATCCTCCACATTTGGAATATTTTGGCTAGTTTTCAGGTCTGAGTTAAAAGTTGGAATTCAAGTTAAATGACTGCTCCTCTCCTGACAACCGTAGGACCACACACTCACAGACACAAACAGTTAAAGCACACAAGACATGGTCCCGTTTAGGTGCCATTTAGTCCATATACAGACCAGCGATAGGTGTGAAATCAACTGGTTTATATGGAGCTGGAAAATCTAGAATGAGCCCAGACAGTATTGAGGCATCAGGAGTGGAGTGATAGAGTTATCAGGCAGTTGCTGGAGAGTCCAAATAAAATTAAACAGTGAGTTAAGGTCAGCTTGTGAATGCATTGAGCAGCCTTTTGATGACTTGGAAGAAATTTGACTGAGGTCTTATTGCGGGTTTGCATG